CCCTCCACTTGATATGTACTCTGATTAATTTCCTGTTTCTTCTACTAGAAACTGGATGTCCCAGTAGCCACTGTCTTAATTTTGAAATTGCATCTGTTCATTTTTCATCGTTTCTTGTCTCCTCATCTTTCCTACTGTCTTCTTCTATGATATTTTATGATTTATCAATTGTTGTTTGTAAGTTATGATTAATGATTGTAACTATTATTTATGATCTATGACCTATACTTACTTGCTGTTTATATATACACTTATGCAGCAGAGACAAATTCCTTGTGTGTCTATCACACTTGGCCAATAAAGTGTTCTATGCTGTTCTATGCTATGCTATGCTATGCTATTCCATATTCTACTCTACTCTACTCCATATTCTATTCTATTCTATTCTATTCTATTCTATTCTATTCTATTCTATTCTATTCTATTCTATTCTATTCTGTTCTGTTCTGTTCTGTTCTGTTCTGTTCTGTTCTATTCTATTCTATTTTATTCTATTCCATTCCATTCCATTCCATTCCACTCCACTCCATTCCATATAAATTCACCATAATTTGTGGTCATAAATCCTTTCTCTTTGTATGATTCTCTCTACATATCAAAATAGTTAAATCTTGCATCTTAGACCAGTTCACTTGGAATGCTTTTGAATTTTTTTTTCTAATTCCATGTTCTTCAGATATCTAGCACTACAACACCTACCCTCATATATAGGTGCAGACCAATTCTAGGCCAACAACTCTGCAATGCTTCAAGATGGAGAACTCTAACCCAGAGAGAACATTTGAAGTAGAATCTGAAAGATATCTGCTTGTACATGATTTTTAATATGTACTCTAAGTACCTGTAGATGTACTTAATATATACTTTTTAGAGTTGCAGAGTGATGGGCAGCATACAGATCTAATAAACAAACAAACAAACCAGTTTCTTAAAGTCTTACTCATTCCAGCAAAGCAAATTTTCTAGGCAATCCCCATTCCTTCACCCAAAGAATACCAATTATTTCATTACCATCTTCATAGTCCTGTTATTATCTGTTATTTTAAAGACAAATTGGATGCTTACCTCAAGCATTTGCTTCATTCATCACCTTGCAAATGAATGGTTCGTTAAATTTTTTAAACTTCAGAATATATTTTACAGGTTATGTGTTGGTATTTTAAAAAAAGGTTTAGACGGGATATTTTGCATTCCATAAGCTACTAATGACAACCCTTGAATATTGTTTTACAGGTTATACTAGTCAAAACTGTAGTCAGTAGCAATTGGCTTTCATATTTCATGCAATACCAAATGTTAGCATTGTGATATGGAATATTTATATTTTCATGCTCTTCACAAATATAGTATGACTAAGTCTTCAAGAACTCAGACAGCAGAGAGATTCGACACCTGTTTATTTCCAGGTTCTTCGTGGCATCTTGCTTAGAAAGATTTCAGAAAAAAACAACCCACACCTGATCCCACATTTAAACTCAAAAAGGGAAAGCAAGAAGAAAATCAGAAACAACAGGCTTAAATCTCTGCTGTTTCCAGCACGGAGAAGTCAATTTCTACTCCACATTTCAATTCAGGCAAATAATATGGATTTAGCAAGCTTGTTCATTTATATATACAAACACACATATTACGGAGGCACTATCACGAAGCAAGGAAAATTAGCAGTGCTTGTTTTTTTTATAAGAGGACACAGACACAACACAGAGACACCACCACAACACAACTGTGAGTACTCACAGCTCTGAGTACAGGAAATGCAGATTTCCCACACTGTCTGTATAGTTTGCAGGACTTAACCAAGGAAGAACCAGTAACAGGAGAGCTTTCATTTTTGCAAGTGTATGTTTACAAGTTGCTCTTAAGTCTCCTCTTTGCTCCTTCCTCTCTGCCTCAGTTTTTCTGCGATGGGATACAGAACCTCAAGCTTCCTTTTTTTTTTTTTTAAACGTCAGCCAATATTCAGGTCCTCCCTGTTCCCTTCCTATAAGCCTTTTCAACCCAATCGAGAACGCATTAGGAACGAACGCAAATCACTTCAATGAAGCTATGCTGGAAGAAAGCTCATTGACCTGCAAGTTGATTTGAGCTGATTCTCCAAAGAAGGTTAGGGATGAGGATTGTTTTAGGGAGAACCGAGCAGCAATAGCTGGAGGCAATGCAGGGCTTAGAGCTGGAAAAAAGGAAAAACACAGCAAAAAGCCAAGGCTGAGGCACACAGGAGTGAGAGTCGCATCCTTTGGCGATCTTCAGAATGTTTTTTTAGAAGCAGCTGATACATTGACATCATTGGTAGAAAGGCAGACAGGTTAGAAGCTGAGGTGCATAAGACAAGAGGCAAGGAACGAATCCGAACCTAGCAAAAGAGATGCAGCCTGGGAGCAGATGAGGTTATATATGTATTTATCACAAACAGAGACCTATTTTTCCCTCCCAGTCAGGATCCCATTTGATTGGCTTCAACCAGGTGGAGGGAGGGGGAGTATTAAAGCTCTTCGTGATGAAATCTAGGCTGAATGTTGTCTAATTACACATGCAAACCCTTCTCTCCAGTTTTAAAATTAGGAATAAGTGCCGTTGAGACGATCGCCAGCAGCGTGTCTATTTGTTTTTGAAAAATTATATTGCCGCCTGCTCGCAGCAATGGTGACTCAAGGCAGCTTGCAAGGATGTAGAAACACCGTCTCAGCCAGTCCTTGAGTATAGAAGATTTGTCCTGAAATGAATACAAATTCCAGCTCCTTTGTAGTAGTGCCATGGTGGTTTATTCAATAGCTCAGCAAACAACAAATACGCTTCTCTGACAAGAAAGGCTAAAAGCCAGGCAAGGTTAGAGTTGGGTTTGAGTTTGCTCCCTTTCGTTTAATTACCATTATCATGAGACACACCCCACCACACCCAGTCCTTGTTCCCAGTGGGCTCTGGTTCCCAGTCGGTAGACTGGGGGTTGGGTACCCTTGATATACTACATGTATGTCCCTACATGCTAAGTATTGTTTTTAGATTTAAGCAAGCTGCGAAAACACATACAGGTTTAAAAACCTATCTAAAACACATTTTCCTGTGGGTATTTTTCACCATTCTACAATGTCCTCTTCCCCTCCTTATTTTGAGGAATGTGGATGAAAAGGGGACAAATTTTGCAACCTGAACTTTTCCTTCTGGGAATGGGGAAGAAGCAAAACGTGAACTCTGGTCATGTAAGGTGCTGGTGTTCACCTTAAATCCTTCTAAACAGTTTAGAACCTGAATTATATTCCTTGCTTGCTATGATTCTTCCAATTATTTATCAAGCTTTTTGTCAGGGTTCCAACAAATCCACCCTCGTTCAAATCAAAAGTCTCTGGCCACATTTCAGAAAAAGTAAATTGGTTTATTAGAAATTGCCATGTTGGCATGTGGCTGGGTGCAGCTGATATTAAACCACACCATACACTTCCCCCTTGACCCTGGTCTTCCCCCCACCCCCTGGATGTGACTTCTCCAATGGGACACTGCCATCTCCAAGAGTCATCCATCATGCTCTCCAATAACCTTCTTATGCTCCGACAACTTTGGGCTACCGAGGTGATTATCTAGGCATTTCAAGAATGCCTTGTTTTCCCCCACTCCCTTTTCCTGGCAACTAAAAAGACCAAAGGAGTATCTTTTTAGTTGACACTTTTCACTGCTAACTGAACTTAATGATTCTGATGTTGGTTTTCAGTGGTGACTTCACTGAATGGATTCTCCTGTCTCAATTTGCATTTCCCATCTTACATAATGATTCTATTCCAGAAAGCTTAGCACAACCCAATTTTTGCCTACGTCACCTTTTCACTTGCATCCCATAATACAACATTGCACAGTGTGCATAAATACAAAAAGCTTACGCATCTAAGATGACTCATGCTCCATCACTTACACCTCCTGGAAATACTTGCATGAACCCTTATTTGACCCAGAAAGCATCTGAATTTGGTGTTGTTGTTGGAAGCTGCCTTTTAATTCATGCAAGCTGAAAGATGGAGGATACATTTATTCATAAAATAAAGCAGTTGCTACTAAAAGACCACCTTATATTTAATATCTTACTTGATATCCAGATTTAATTATATCATATGGAAGAAACAGAGAGTGGTGCAGTGGCCTAGAGGTGGAGTTCTTGCCTTACAATCAGGAGGCTGTGAGTTTAATCCTCGGTAGTGGCAGATATTTCTCTCTCTGGGCACAATGAGAATATATTTGCTGTGAACTTCACATTGGCAACAGGAAGAGCATCCGGCCAGTAAACACTCAGCTCCATTCAGTTGCCCCGACTCCACCCCGATTAAGGGATTACGGAGTCATTAAAGGACAAAAAAATAAGGAAGAAAGAGAATGTCTGATAGAAAATGTTATTCAGTGTCATGCTCCTGGTGGAGACTGACTCGGAGGGAGAGGAGGAACAGCCGACAGGGAGTGGAAGTATAGCTCCAGAGGTTGTGGAGGAGGCTGGGGAAGGGCAGAGGCCGGCTGAGCAGTCAGAGGAGGACCCAGGCCCATCCCCTCTCCATCCCAGGGCACTCAGGAAGGAGAGGATAAGGGAAAGATGTGGTCTACTTGGGAGGAGAGGGCCTTGATCATCTTCATGGGCTGCAGCTGTGACAACTGAATAAGAAGACGGACTTGCGTATGGGTGAACGCTGGAAAAAAAGCGTGGAAATATCTCTAGCATATGGATCCTCTCTGAGTTTGGCGTCCTTCCCAGTGTGTGTTCACTTATCTGTGGATGTCCTCCAGCCCTTATCTTGCCTCATTTGTGTTACTTTTTTCCTTCTTCTTGTAACTGTTTGTGTGGGAGTTTTTTGTCTTTCGTCAAGGATATTTGGAGTTTGGAAGCAAACTGAAGGAATAAAAGGGGCTTCACCTGTTTTCTGTGACTGTGTTTGTTTTGTATCCCACCCTGGGTCATCACATTCAGATTGAGTTTTTTTTTCTCTATACATAACATAGACATATAAACAAGACCAAAAGGTACTCACCCATTCTGAAAATGATGTTCAAGATTACAGCGTTGTAGAATTTCTGAACAGTGTTCTGTGAAAGGACAGTTCACCATTAGCTTATCGAGGAGCTTATTCACTAGGATGCTTGACTTCCTGCACCTCTGTAGAGCTAGAGCTTTGCGGTCCATAGGACAGAAATCTTTTTCCACAAGGAAATCTGTAAGGCAAACTGTACAGTACGTGTGTCCGCAGGGTGTGTCCAGAGGCTGAAGCAAAGGCTGCAAGCAAATGTGGCAGATTAGGTCATCATCTACCTCTTCTGTGTAGGTGTATATATGGTTCTCTTCTGGAAGATGCCTTTGGCCACAGGCCAAACATAATGGAGCAGAGCTTCCTTCGGTCTCTTCCAGTGAGTCTTTTGGATTCATAATTGTATGTTCCCGTGTCACCAAACAGAGGAGAGGACTTCTATAAGAACTTATCTCTATCCAGAATTATTAGCCAGCTGTTCCTGAGAGTCTTCAGACCTGGAGGAAAGCCACACAATGATCAATTAATTTATGTTGGTATTCAAATTCTACATGATTCATTTCATGACCGAACACCCAACACTCAAACTTTATTGCACAAATCAATAAACCTGGATGAAATATATTGAAGGACTCACAGCACCATTGAGAGTGTCCTCACATACTGCATTCTTGCACGGTATGGGAGCAGCTCTGTAGCGGACAAAAAAAGCTCTACAGAGAATAAGTAAAACTGTCCTGAATATCATTGGGTTCCAGCTACCAGCCCTGGATGGCATCTTTGCATCCCGTTGTTTGAGAAAGTTGCACAACATTCTCAGAGACTCTTCCCATCCTGCTTACAATCTTTACGAACCATTGCCTTCTGGCAGAAGATACAGAACAATTAAAACTCGGACCACACATTTTCTGAACAGGTTTTATCCCAGAGCTATAATTGTACTTAACAATGAACTTAAATACCACCATCAGTGAGCTGTTGGACAGTATTGCTTGGTCTGTTGTGTGGATGCTTGCGTGTTTTTAGGAGGTGGGGAGTTTTAGTGGGTGGGGAGCTATTTGGTGATTGTCATGTGTGTGTGTATGTTGAATCTGATCTCTGGGTGTTATGTGAATTTTGTTGTATACTGTGTATATATGTACAATGACAATAAAGAATTCAATTCAATTCAATTCAATTCAATTCAATTCAATTCAATTCAATATATTCATGAAAGACTAGGGAGAAAAATAGGGATTCCTCCCCAATGGAAATCACCTATATGTACTGTATATTTTGCAATATGTTTCTAAAATCTTGTTTCTATCAGCCGAAAGGTGCATGCAGCCATTCCATCTTTCAATCAGTTGATTTTTTTTCCCCTTGGAAAGAAAAGTGATGTCCAAAGCAGTGAGAAAACAGAGTATAGCAATAAAGGACACCAATCCTTAGAAAAATTATGTGAGGCAATAATATCGCACAAAGAGAAGTGTGTGGGGGAAAAAAACGAAATGCAAACATCTCAAAAGGCTATATCCCTTTTAAGCTTGTATAAAATTGCTAGGAATTATAGTCAGCATGATAAAACAAGGAAATACAGGTTCTCAAGTGTTGCATAATCACAAAGAACTGACCTCACCCACCCAAAACTAAAACTAAATAAAAATGGCTTCTACAATTATTTATTCCCTTTCCACACACAGACATACACATGCCACCCCAGGTAAGAAATAATTCAAAGTATGATAAACATGTCCACATGTCACGCTAAGTTATGTTTTAGAAACATTCAGAAAATGTTTGGATCTGTGCATCAGGTTAAGCCTAGTTTATCATTCATAAAGCCTAGGTTTAAATAATCTATCATTCCAACCCAAACAAATGACATTATATTAGGGCTTAGTGATGTGTGAACTTAATCACTGAGTGGTTTGGTTTTTTGTTTTTTTTTAAGACTATATAACACAGTACAGACGAACACAATACAGAAGCCTGATGATGGCAGATGAGATTCTGCTGAAACGTTGCTACAACTTTAAAAGCACCACTACTATGACGTGGGAAAATACCCGAACAAAGCTGAATGCCATACATGTAAGTACCCGCGAAAACTTAAGAATATATATATATTTGTTTTCTTAAGTTTTCGTGGGTACTTACATGTATGGTATTCAGCTTTGTTCGGGTATTTTCCCATGTCATAGTTGTGCTTTTAAAGTTGTAGCAACGTTTCGGCAGAATCTCATCTGCCATCATCAGGCTTCTGTATTGTGTTCGTCTGTACTGTGTTCGAACACAATACAGAAGCCTGATGATGGCAGATGAGATTCTGCCGAAACATTGCTACAACTTTAAAAGCACAACTATAATGACGTGGGAAAATACCCGAACAAAGCTGAATACCATACATACATACATACATACATACATACATACATACATACCTACATACATACATGGATCTTTGGTTATTCGGGTTTTCTCCCGCGTAAAATTGGAAGTATCTAGGCGACGTTTCGATGAAGTCTCATTCATCATCTTCAGGCTTGTGTCTTCGGCTTTGTGCTTCTCGGAGTAATGTGAGCTTGCAGCTGCTTCTTCCTTTTAACTGCTAGTGGGAGTGTGACTTGATTGGGTGGGGGCTTGGCTGTGTTCTGATTGGTTGGGGGGTTGGCTATGTTCTGATTGGCTGGGGGTGTGTTCTGTTCAGGTGGGGGCTTGGTTGTGCTCAGGTTAGTCTTAGTTGCTGGGGGATTTGAGCTGGTGAGCTGTGATCCTGTTGTTTGGCTTCGCGTTCGTGGTCGTGCCACATCTTCATGGTGGGCGTCCATTCGCTTCATGTGCTCGAAACGTCGCCAAGATACTTCCAATTTTATGCGGGAGAAAACCCGAATAACCAAAGATCCACATACAAATACAAATATTTGTTTATTCAGCTGCTGGCCTTATGGCCATAATTTTGATTTGTCTGAAATGCTTGTTAAAAACTCTTGAACACAGCTCTTCCTTATATGGCTTCCTACAAAAAGATGGGGATTGTAACTCCCAGGGGAGTTCCAACCCCTTTAGAAAGCAGCCAGGTTGGAGAACACCAACTTATATTTATAACTGTTGATATATTAAGGTATATATATAATTAAGGGACATTCCATTTTTTTCTCCATGATGCAAAATTCAAAAACAAAATTTACAAAGCCTTGACTACAGTTTCTAAATTCTGGAATATTTTTTTGTTGAAAAACAACAACAATAACAACAGCGCTTCCTTTTCTGTAAAGACTCATTTCTCTCTGGTGGCACTATGTTTGAACTCTCAGGTTTATGTATGGAAAGACCTGACAATTTCATTAATTTCTGTGGATGGCAAAGGACAGAGCAGGGGAAATCCTGTCTTGACGTACCATTTATATATCAAGTATAAGAGAAAGACAGGATAAGGATAAGGGTCGAAATATATTTATGTTATCTACAGACTGTGTTTATAATGGAAGTAACTTCTGTATGCTGTACTTCACTCTGTCATCACTGTTAATCTTACTGCATACATATTTACGTCTTGAGGACTCAGAAGGAGGAATGACTGTGCATTGTGCATGACTGCATTCCCACTCACGCTAGTAATACTATTTCTAAATTTGCAGATGATACAACAGTGGTGAGACTTATCTCTGGGGGGGCGGGCGGGGGATGAGCCTACCTACCGAGGTGAGGTGGACCAGTTGCTTTCGTGGTGTGGAGACAATAACTTGGTCCTCAACACCAATAAGACCAAGGAGCTTATAGTGGACTATAGAAAGAACAGATCAGATATCCAGCCCTTGCTTATCAATGGAGACCGAGTGGAGCAAGTGGCCAGTTTTAAGTTTCTGGGTGTTACCATAAAAAAGGACCTGACCTGGGGTGCTCACATTGAAGCCCTGGTCAAAAGGGCCCAGCAGAGATTATACTACCTGAGACTTCTCAGAAAGCAACAACTGAATGAAAAACTGCTGGTGACCTTCTACCGCTGCACCATAGAGAGCATTTTAACTTATTGCACCTCTGTATGGTTTGCCAATTGCACAGTGGCAGATAGGACAGCACTCCCAGAGGGTTAATGTCATTGCCCAGAGGATCATGGGTTGCCCTCTCCCCTCTTTGGAAGAGCTTTATAGCTCCCGCTGCCTTAAGAAAGTTCAAAACATTCTCAAAGATCCATCTCATCCTGGGAACCCTTTTTTTGAACTATTACCATCTGGCAGACGGTACAGGATAATAAAAACAAGGACAAAGAGGCTGAAAAACAGCTTCTATCCCAGGGAAGTAGCTCTTTTGAATTCCACTGTATAGTGCAGTGTTGGTGCAGTGTTGGGAGTTTTCAGTTCAATATGTGTGCAGGGTGAAGGATGTGTGTTTGTGTTTTATTTTCAATGTGCACTGAAGATGATGTTTGATTTCGTAGTACAGGGTGCAATGACAATAAACTAAACAAAACTAAACTAGAAGGAGGAAACTTCTTGTTCACACTGGTTTTAAGTTATGAACAAGGGCCATATTTATTTCGAATTTATCCATGGTGATCTAATGACCTATTACCATGATGGCGAACCTATGGCATGCGTGCCACAGGTGGCACACAGAGCCATTTGTGCGGGCACATGAGCCCCAGCCAAACTTACCTGCACTGCGCATGCATGTGCCTCCCAGCTGATTTTTGGCCTGTTTGAGCCATTTTCGCCTTCCTGGAGGCTCAAGGGAAGCGTCTGCAGCCTCGGGAGGGCGAAAAATGGGCCCTCTGGAAATACCGGAAATGCTGAAACGGGCCCGTTTTTCGGCCTCCCGAGGCTGCAGAAGCTTCCCTTGAGCCTCCAGAAAGGCGAAAATGGCTCAAACAGGCCGAAAATCAGCTGGGAGGCACATGCATGTGCAGTGCAGGTAAGGGGGTGGGGTGAGGTGTTGCGCATGCATGCATGTGGGGGTGCATTGCATTGTGGGTGCTGGCACGCGCATGCGTATTAGGAATATGAGTCACCTAACAGCTATTTGGGTTAGAAATATATAAACCAGGATAAATGTTTTAAAACTGTATCTTTAAGAAAATGCAAAACTGTAATTAGGTGTGGTTTCTCAAACAGCCATAAGATGGAGCCAGAAACCTGGGTTGTTTAGTCTGAGTCTCAGAAGAGAATGTGAATGTATCTCTGTTTCCTTCTGTTGGAAAGTATTGCCGTTCCTCCATTTTTCCTAATTGACTGATATTCATGGATTTAATGTAAGTCTGTTACTGAACTGTTTTTTGACACTGGACTTTGATATTTCGATTAACCCTGGATTGAAAAACTGACTGATTTACCTGTGAATGATTTTGGATTGCTTGTTTGGACTTTGCTTAACGTTTCTGGAAGTAAAAACCTACATTTACTGTACAGTGTATCTGTGTGCTGTGTGTGTATTATTCAAACACTACTCTCAAATACGTCTCCCTGTATGCGCTCATTCTCCTAACGGGGAATTACCTCAACAATGCGCTTTCGGCACA